TTAAGCTGTCTGAAAACCATGGACATATGGGACTGGACTTAATCATGCGTGGGCTATTAACTGCAGAATATCAAGGTTTAACACAGCTAAAATTTCCTTCAGCAGGTGGTTTTGTCTTCCCACACACTAATACCAATATTTTGAGGTTAGAAGCTCTTAGGGCTGCTCTGCTTCAGATAGCATTTATGTTAGAGAGACTAGCCCTGCTCTTCAATATATAGAAAAAGGTGAAAGACAACCTTTCTGTTTGAGTTTGTTTTAGAGATGTTCAAATCCCTGTGAAAGTATTTTTCTAGATGGTCCAGTGTCATATTTAGTAGGCAGACCAGAGAGCAAATACTTCTCTTGCTTTCATATGTCTCTCTAAACAAGAGCAAGCCATTGGTTTTGCTTCCCATAGAGTTGGAAGAATCTTGCAGGATGCTCAGAGAAGTGTTGAGCTCATTACAGCTCATTCCTTTTCATATGATCAAGAAGGATTCGTTAGGAGAAACAAATGTGAAAATTGAACAACATTATTTAGATAATGGAGGATTTCAAGTGTTTTTGAGTGTTTTTGACACTGCTGTAATCACAAACTAGGATTAATAAGCGTGGGATACAAATCATTCTTAATCTAGTTGAGGGCTTGTGGCAAAGCTAGTGTGTTTGATTACCTCACAGAGTAATTTGAAAAAAATCTAATTCCTTTTACATATACCATGGCCCCAAATTAAAGAAATGTACTTCCCAGTTTGGGTGGGGTGAGATCAGCTAATAAACTACAAATCTCCTCTTCATCATGAGAGACTACTTCAGGTCTGTGCTCTAGCAGGAGGGAACTCCGGCAGCTGACAGGACAAGCACAGAAAGATTCATGAATTGAGACTGTGACCGAGATGAAGACTGAGGAATACTTAGAAACGAGGTCAGACTTCTGGAGTCAGTAATATTGCTGAGTTGTGAAAGCCTGGCCCATTCTTGATTAAACTGAAGATGCCACTAAGCAGCTTTCTGGTTGTCCCTGCAGAACTGAATAACTATTGTTCTGCAACAATACAGTGCTCAGCAAGAGCAGAAGCTAACAGTCTCCCCAGGGTTTCCCCTAAACAGGCTGCTTTGATACTTGGGGAAGGAGGTCTTCCACTGGTTAATGCATATCAAAAATGTTAAAAATCTTACCCTTCACATGCAACCGAATTCAGTGGCACCAAATCAAAAGGGCTAGGCAGGTATTCCTAATCAGTTGCATGAGCTGCTAAAAAAATATGAGCTTGTTAAATAGTAAAAAACCAACATGTTGTAGATAAAGTATAACAATTGAAAGGTTTTCTTACTAGAATGCACGAGATACCGTCAGAGATCCTTCAAAGGTTCCACTACCTGAACTTAAATGTGTTTATCCAGCCTCTGATATCAGTTATAATGTGAGCGGTCCACAGATAGTCTCAGTGGACTGAAAAATCAACTGGATGATAATGGAAGTAATTTCTAAAAGCACATCCACATTAGCTGATTATATCTGAGTCTGATAACAAACTTCTGAGATAAAGTAATGCAAAGCTGTTGGTAGAATAATCTTGCTTTAAGATGGAATTTATTTTCAGCTTTTCATATGATAGCACAACCTGGTGATTCAATCTGTGATCTGCTCCCTTAATCCTTTTGGCTAATCAAAACCTTTCTTATTGGTGTAACTCAGCTGTAATAAAAGGTCATGGAAAAGCCTTGACCATGAGGTATTTGTTGTCTGAACAGCATGGTCTGTCTTCCTGATGCAAACCCAAATTAGTTCAATCCCTTCCAATGTTGTCCTGAGTCAGTGTTTTATGTTGACCTTAATGTATCGGAAGTCCTTCAGCAGCAGACCATTATAGTAGCATGACCTTTCTGCAGTACTTGTATTGGTGCCATAAGGAAAGGTTACTGCCTTTCATGCCTACTGAATCTGCAGTCCATGGAGCAAGAAGTGTAGCATTTATATAACTGAACAGTTAGATAAATGTTCCTTAATGCTCATGTATCATGAAATTGGATGATGTCATGAAGTTATATCACTTGGTGGATGTTCTGGCTGGTATAATCCTATACTGTCCCTTGAATATTTGGGCAAAAAAAGTCCCTCTTGGATCCCAGGCCTCAAACTACCTCTTTAAAAGGAGATGCTGCAACTCCCAAAAGAGCAGCCTGGGACAAGACCCTTTGGGACAACTAAGTAGAAAGACACATTTAGTGTAACTTCACTAAGTTCTCATGTAAAGCTGTGGAAAGCAAACTTTATTAATCCTGAATGTTTTCTATTATTCTCTTGAAGTATAGTAGCCAACCTCATGAACTGAGGCAGGAGCAGGTCTGAGTCTGCCTTAATGCTTGCAGGGTGGCTGCTGAGTAGCACCTGGGTGACTCTACACTGGAACATCATGGGTCTCCATTGGTTTAGACTGGGCTGAACTGAGCTTTCCATCTCCGAGGAGGACTTAGCTATCCCTGCTAAGATACAGGATTCAAAGAGTACATGACAAAGGCTATGGAGAAGCAGAACATGCAGCAGCCTGGGAAGAGGCTAAAAGCTCGGGTGTGAGGGGAAATGTAGGGGTAAGCTGGCTGAACACGCTGGATTAGAAGAAAGGAAGCATGGTATGATTGAACAAGCATCATCTGTTAACGCCACAGGGGGAAAGGGTGCTGGCTCCGTAGTCAAAATCAAGAGTTGCTGTTTCATTTCCTGACAGTCTGTGATCCCTTCAGGAGTGTTGCTAAGGTCTGCAGACCATCAAATCTCTCCAGATGTTCTTGGAAATCCTGTATGAGCTATCCCTGAAAATTCAGATTTGGGGGGAAGTTAGTTCTGGTTCTAGATAAAGGTGTATGGTGACACATCTTAAATGATATTGGCAGTTCCTTTATTCAATAAAAAGCTGAGATTTCTTTCTAACTGCTTCAAGGTAGAGTCTTACTGGGAGGAGAATGTACACACACACCCCCCCTTTTTGCTCTCAAAACCAAGCTGAGTGGAAGAACAAAGCATTGTGCTTGCCACTGCTAGTGCAAGGAAGGAGGGAGAAGAAAAAATCCCCAACCTCCTATCAACCAAAGTGGTGCAATTTCTGAAGTCTAACTTCACTTCTGAACATACTGGAAGGGACAGTCAAGGGAGCAGAGTTTGGGAAGCCTGGCAGTTCTTCCCATAGTCTTTATGTACCAACAGTTCGTACTCTTCAGTATTTGAAGTGTAGTGAGATCAGCTTGTGTGAGTCACTGGCCGTCGACACTAGAAGGAAAACATCCAGGAAGTTCTTACTTGACCTACTTTCCATGGATGAGTGCAAAAACACAGTGCAAACAAGCAGGGACAAATCTAAAAATCCAAATTACCTCATGACTTGCAGCTAAACAGAAGATTGAAGGACAATTTCTTCTTAGAAATTACTCTAGAAATATGCTTGCAGAAACCTGAGGAAAAGTGGTTTGCTTTGTTTTGTTTTGCAGTGATAAAAAAGTTTAATGGCTATATGAGGGGGTTTTGTACTTACTTTCTTGTTATTTTTTTTTTAAAAATCATCTAACTACAGTGATTGCCTAGAAAAGATCTTGGGCCTGATTAAGTTGGTGGCAGCTTGTATACTTGTCTTCAGAGAGGATGAATCTAATGGGCTAGTTAACCATCTTGGAAGCTAATTGTTCTGTGGAAATATGGGGAATGGATAAGGTACTAAGAATGAAAGAGAAAACTGGATAAACTTGGTATCTTAAAAGAGTGAAAAGGAGATGGAACCAGTAGGTACCACCACACAGGTAATAAAGTGGCACTGAGAGAGCTCGATTGTGTTGTTTTACAGATCATACTAGTGCTAGCTAACTTCCTCCTAGGAGGAAAATGAGTGTTACATTCATTTTTAAGTGACACTGTGTTAATGCAAGATAGAGAAAAACAGTGGGTCTGGTTGCAAAGCCGTCAAGAATGTATGTTCTTTTTACATAATAAAATGAGATTTCACACTCCCAATAAAACCACTATCAGTTTGGATGATGCAGCGCAATATCTCCTAAACTTGCAGATGGAGCAGTGCTGGAAAGGGATGATGAGGGCATCTTGAGGATAGAAGTCAAAATTGTGGTAAATGGGGAATGAAGGTGGATTGGGAAAGATGAAATTTAAAAGTGACTTACAGGGCTTTGGTTTGAAATCTGAGAAGGGGGAAGTGACTGGTTAGGTAATGGTAGCCCTGCAGAATTAAACCTGGGGCTAGTCATGAGCTGAGAGTCAAGTCTGATGTACCAATAGGAACAGTAAGTGTATACAGCAGAGGCCAACAAAATGCATGAAGTAATCACGCTGCTTTGTTTAGTGTTGTCTTCTTTGGATATCCTGAACAGCTTTGAAAACATGTGTGCTGTGACAAACAGGTGCAGTAGAACAGAGGTTTGGCCTCTTGTTTCAGCAACTGAACTTCTGTGCTTCTACCTCATGACTTAGTCTGAGTGCCCACTCTTACCAAAAGGGAATCTCATTCTACTTCTAGTTAGATGCTGTAGTTTCAGATATGTGAACAGTCCTGGAAGGGCTCAAAAAGGCAGAGAAGCCAAACCACTTTGTCTCCTTTTCTTCTCCTTAGAAGTAATGCAGTAATTCATAGACGAAGTGGTTGGTAGATAGCAAAGACATAAACTTTCTGCTTCAGAACCTGAAGCAGAATGTTTATGTTATGTCATGACTGAGCATCAGCCACTACCAGGATTTGTCTCTGAACAAATTCCTTGCTTTTTTCTGTCCCAAAGCACGTGCAGCCTGGAAGCAGCGCAGAGGAGGGAGACAGCAAGACTGACCTTTCCAACTCTGAATAGACTAACCAGAACTGGTCTTTTGGGGTGGGGGGATTGAACGAAGAAAGATGAGAAAATGCAATCTGAACAAAGAAAGGTTCTGTAACCTTCAGGAGCCCTTAGAGGACTCTGCACAAGCAACATGGTAATGTTAAGTAATCTCATCGCTAACACACCTTTCCACCTTATCTTTAAAGCAAACTACAAATCTGAACCTTCCTCCTGAAGATCTTGATTCATCTGGTGATGATGACGATGCGTTCTCAGGTTCAGGTGCAGGTGAGTTATTAGCACTTGTACTGTTAGTGCTTGATCTTTCCAGGATGTGGCAATTGAGATCTTTATGAGCATCCAAGCTGAAAGATGTGTAGGGGGAGGAATCACTCACACACACCCCTGCCCCAGAATATGAGAGTTGGGAACAGAGAAAGAGCCTAATCTAGTCATCTTGTATTGCTTCAGATAATAACAATTAGCAGAAAATTAGTTGTAGGAGACTTGAAAGGGAGCAGAAGCAGGTGTACTCCATGTGACTGCTAATATGAGATACTGCATGAAGAATGTTAGGAAACTAGAGTGATTCTTTATTCATGGGGAAGAGTGACTGTAAGAAAAGCCTTTGTGTTCTCTAACAAGCTGGTAAGAGATACCGTTTGAGGGTGTGTAAACCCCAACCTGCCAATGTACATCAAGTGTAAATTTTACCTGTCATCAGATGTGCAAATTCCCATGGGCCATAATTTTTAAGAAGTAGAATAAAGGGGTTTTAGGGTGGGGAAAAAGTCTATTAGAATGATTACTAACCTGCATGAGAGAGACCTTTGGAGTTCAGTGCTGAAGTTGATGAGATGCTACTAAGGAAAGAACAAGCCATTGGAAATTAAAGCAAGGTATCCTGCTTCCTTCCAGCCATATGCTTGTATTTTGGATTAAATTCTGCAGGAATAAGACCCTGAAATCAGTGCCAAATGTGCCAGTGACTAAATTTGTTGAGTATATATGGGTGAATGCTCTGAATCAAATAAAAAGTATTTATGGGAAAAGAGTCAGATAACCATCCTGAGCAACCAGTATACTGAAAGCAGACATCTCCCTTGACCTGTCTGCAAACAGACTAGCACTTGTGCCTTGGGGAGAAGCAGTTGACTAATGAAGTATTGCTGAATAGCTCATTGGTCTGTCCCTTCCTTATTCCACTGAAAAGGATAAGGAATTACAAACTGAACTGCTGTTATTACAAAAATTGGCTATGCAGGTTAGGCATCCTTAGATCAGCTTCCTGAAGATACTATTAATAGGTCTCTAAACTGGCCAAGGATAATATTTTTTTTGTTTTGCAGGTCCCCTGACTGACCAGTCTCACACCTGGAGAATCCCAGGAGAACCAACTAATTCCTCATTACTGGCAACACCAATGGATTTCAGCGATCAGCCATTTCCTGGGGTTGAGAGCCGAACTGAAAAGGAAGTAACATCTCCTTTTGTGACGAGTAATGTAGTGACAGAGGAGCCAGTTGTAGCTGTGAAGGACGAAGTACACATCCTGGGCTCACCTGATGAGAAACCAACAAATGATGTGGTTACAACAACAGTGAGAAGCCCCACTACTCACTTCCCTTCAGTGGTTCATGTAACTCCTTCAGAAGCCTCAGGCACAGTCCATGAGCTTGAACCTAAAATCCCTAGCTCTCATGTGCCAGACACGAAAGACATGACTGAGTCCCACTCTACCATCCATCACGAGGGACACATGACTGCCACCCCCACGACGACAGCTCCAAAGGATGTTGTTCCAACACATGAGGAGGTTTCTGAAGATGGCTCTGGAGACCCGGTGAGGACTAGCTTTGACACCCTTTCCAGGGAGATGGCAATAGTAGTATGTAGTAAGTTGGTTTTGCAGGAAAGGGTGGTAAATTGTCAAAACCAATTCATTTAATAGGTTATATTGGTGAAGGGTTTTAGATGAGAAAAACCAAAGCTGTGTAAAGGCTCCAGTAACAGGCGTGATGAGAAACATGAATAACCTGCCTTGTATGTCCCAACAGGGAGACTTCATCTTGACTAAAGACGAGGATTTGGTCCCCACCCAGAACTCAGAAGTGCCGGCTGACTCCGGGAGGAATGCCAAAGCAGCAGGAGCCTCGGGAATTATGGACAGAAAAGAAGTTCTTGGAGGTACCTGATATTCTGGATTTCTAGCTGGTAAAAGCAGACTCTCATAGGAGTCTTCCAGGCAGCAGAAGCCACAGTTCTGCAAGTACATCTCTGAACGTGAAAGCCAACCTTTTACGTTAGACTTGTGAAATGAGGGTGATGATTCATGATTCTGTGTTGTAAAAACCCTAACAAGGGCAAATATTAATCTGCTAATAGCAAAGCAGCCAGCTAGTTATCTGGAATTTTATGTTGAAACCTATTCCATCTCCTCTCAAAAATTACAGTAAAGCTGCTCTAATGCTGCCTGGGTCAAATGACTATAGAGATGAACAACGTAGCCTTGCATGCTTTGCAGCATGGCTCGGTGGGAGATCTGTTTCTCTGGGTTTACCTCACGTATATGAGCAGGCTCTTGGCAATGGCAGGGTGACTGGTTTGGGAGGGAGCAAAAGCACAAACTGATTTCTGGAAGTCATGAAGTCAGGGACCACACAGTAAGGAACAATCTGGAACTTAGTCATACTAGCATTATCTAGTGTGGCATCTAGAGTAATTTGTGGCTTTTTCCCCCCTTCTAGGTGTGATTGCTGGAGGACTAGTAGGCTTGGTGTTCGCAGTGTTTCTAGTTGCATTTATGCTGTACAGAATGAAGAAAAAAGATGAAGGCAGCTATTCACTGGATGAACCGAAACAGTCTAATGGAGGATACCAAAAACCACACAAACAAGAAGAATTCTATGCATAAACACTGATCTTCAGGACACTTCTTATTCCATCTTTCTTGGACTCTTCTCTCCCTGCACGTGGACCTCCTAGTGTGCTTTGCATTAAACTTAAGCCATATGATCATGGGGTTATTCACCCTTACCACTTTGCCATTGGAAATTTCATAACTACAAAGTAGATCTGGATTCATTGAACATTCCCCGCTTTCTTGCACATCATTTTTTATTTTTTTTTTAAACAGAAGTGGGACTGCAAGTTCCTAAACTCACTTTGGTTTATCTAAAGACTGCTGGGGCAAGCGGTGGGGAGAAGATAAGGGAGCACTGTGTGTATAAACCTATTGATATTTAGGGAAAGGGCTAGCAAGAATAAACAATTATCAGTCCTCGAATTCTGTATAGCAGGGATCCTTCCTATTTAACTCATAGATGTGTTTTAAGTGTAACAAATGGCTGCGCTGGGCAGATGTTTGGTGCACTGCAATCCTCTAGTGCTTTCTGACTGCCGTATTTGGAGCACTTAATGCCTACGAAACATCAAGCTGAACATGATTTCCAGTGAAAGGAGGTGTGAGGGGCAGGGTAAGCAAATGACTGTCATGTGGTTCAAAATAACTTGTATTTTGGAAGCATTATCCTATACTCGGAACCAGCTCCTAAGCAGTTGGTGCATACACTAATACAAAACAAACACCAAAGACCCCACATCTAAGTGGAGAGTTCATTTTACCAATATTATTGGACTGTTCCACTACCCACCCTCTTGCTCTTTCTAGGCTTAGGTCAGAATTTTCTAAGCAGTCTCATCTCAGACATTCCCTCTTCTTAGGTGCCGAATCTAGGCTGAGCTGTCGTGCTGCACATACTCTTATCCTGCACTACTGTGTAGTTGCCAGGTGACTGATGGCGTGTTGTAGCACCTACCTCTCTGTGCACTGTTTACAGTGGTTGTCTTGGAACGTGGTCTGCTGTCTATGCCACAGAATACTTTCGGCACACAGGGGTGGGAGGTAGAAAGCAGAATATCATGACTTCGCAGCTAAGGAGTAGAGAAGCATAGCATCTGAAACAAGCCTGATGAAGGCTGAGTATAGATGGCCTTAAGTATATAAAAGAATTGGCGTGCTTGACTCTCGTGACTCTGAAACAGCTCTTCAGAAGTTGTTCCTGCACTTTGGAGAGAAGCAGCTCCAGGGATGTCAGATTAGTAAGGGCCAAAAAGCACCTCCTGAGGCATGTCTGGATGCCTGAAGCTATTGGTGGTCAATGTACTGTCAGATGTGAGGCACTGAGGCCTCATGGAGGGTCTGGAGTTCTCCAAGAGTATCTCAGAGTGAGAAGAAAGTGTGGTGTTGTGCACAAGCCCTACTTCTGCTCAGCCTTCTGTTAGCTTCTTACAAGTTCAGGTCCTTGTCACTCAGTGCAGGAGGTATGGGTTGGGTGGAGGAGTGTTTACAACTGATGTAAATATTTGTACTGTTGAGCCAGAGGGAATGATTGGAGAATATTGCAACAGTTAGTACGAATGTTGCACATTAACAATAAAACTTAAAAACCTGTGTAATTTAAATGAAGTATAAAACACTCCTGAGCTGCTATGCAGCTAAAATTGGTGCCTTCTCTGCAAACCCAAGAAAAAACCAAAACACTTCTAGATTCCAAACTCTTCTTTATGCACCGGGAAAACTTGTGCATACATGTAGCTGGCTGTTTTTAAGTAAAACTGTAAAGTCCATTACATCTTTTTTTTTTTTTTTTTTTTACTGAACGACTTTTCATAGGTTAATGCAATGACCAGATGGTGTTAATTTCAGCTGTAATTCTTTGCTTTGTATAGGGATGTAGAAATGTTGTTTGATAGGTTTATCCATGAAAAGGTTCTTGTAAAGCACAGGAAGATAAAGGGGTAAACTTCAGTTGTACCTCACAACCTTGTTAGGGGGAAAAGGAAAAAAAAACTGTATATTTTGGTAGTCTGAACTGACAGTTTGTGAAACAAACATGACATTCTGTGTTATTTAAGTGGTACAAATGAGATACGAGTTCTAATAGAAGATGCAACATTTGGTTATTTGTATGCCATGTAAAGGTATACTGCAATAAATGGCATTTTGGCAAGAATATGTCTGATCTGTGAACACTGATCAATATAATACTTAACAAAGTAGATGTGGTTTTTAAGACTCCTCAGCTCTATAAGGAAGTTGGATTCCAAGGATGAAATAAGAATTTTGGTGCTAAGCATGTGGAGGTTCAGCTCAGAATTTGAAGGGTGGAAGTGTGACCCGGTTCCCTCTCACCCGGCAGCCCGGGCTGTGGTGAGCTGCTCTGCCCTGAGGCAGTGGGGTGGGCTATGGATGGGCTGTAGTGGACATGTGAGTGAAATCTCTTTGTTAGAGCCCTTCAGTATTTCATGCTGGTTCTGATTCTGGGAGCTCTCCTTGCTTGTTCAGTATGTCACCATCCCCCAAAAGGTGAAAAAAGTTGTAACTCTTCCATAGGGCTCCCTCTTGCTACCTGTCTTCTGCCTCCAGGACTTTGAAAGCAGGGAGGACTGCAGGAGGGGCAGCTCCAAGTCCTTCTAGAAAAACATGCTTCCCAAGACAAATCTGGAGATTGTACCTCCAAGGAGGGGGAATAGAACAGTCCTGTCCCGAGTATCCTGCTGTACGGCATCAATTACTCTGGGGTGCTACAGCTTGTGTGGAAGGAGATGGAACAAAAAAGTAGAGGATAATGTCCTTCACAAAATAGGGAGGTCAGAACCTGCTGCCTTTCTGGGTGGGTCTTGCTGCAGCTTACACAAGTATGTTCTTTTACAAGGCTCTGAGCTGCAAGAAGCTTACTCTTTTTGGTTCTGTAAGCTAGCCACCATATTTTTACTTTATAATGTCCTCTTGCTTACACTGGAAAGGTGTGGGCTGTGTGTTTCCCATCAGAAAATGTTTGGAGGAATCTTGGCAATTGGAAGGTTTTGAGATCAGGCAAAAGGATCAACGGATTCAGTTTAGAAGACTTTGCTTCCATAGCTAACAAAGATGGAAAATGCTTTCTAACTGCATGCCAACTTGGCCAGTCCCTTAAACTGGGTAAAAGAGTTATGTGAAATCAGAGTTGACTGTTAGGCATAGCAGTGGCTTACCTGCTATGAATTCACTTCCTTGGGGGTTGCCAAGACTTCTGCTTTCCTAGTCAGTGATAATGTGGGAAGTTAAGGTGGCAGGGAGGGGAAAAAGCGAACTGTTGAGGGAAATGGGAAATTTCTATGTGAAAACCCTTACAAGTGAAACACAGTGTCTGATTTTCAGTGTGCACTTGAGGCAAACTTTGTTGTACAAAGAGAGAATAATCTACAGAAGGGATAGTCTGCCTCTGCAGTCTGGCATAGGTTAGTTTGGGTTTTCCCATGTCACGTTTCTGTTCACTGTGCTTCCTGACTTTCTTCCTCATCCACGCTGAGGCAATTATCACATTTGCTCTTGTTCACAAGTGAGATGCAAAGAATGTGGCTGGCAGAACATCTGACCCCTTCTTTGTTCCAGAAAAATGAGCTCGAGGGTGTAAATGCACCAAATGTCAAGGAAGGCAAACTATGAGAGGAGGAGGACTTTTCACAATTCTCACTTTGTCAGGTTGCATTAGACCCTATAAAGGAAGCTAAAGCAAATCTAAAAGCCTGTATAATCTTGTAATTGAAAAAGAGAACAGAAAAAAAAGAGGGCCACTCTACAAGGGTACTGAGAAGAAAAGCTATTTCAGATATTTCATAAATGCCTTATCTGAGTCTTCATCAGGACTAGTATGTATATTGATGAAAATGAGTAGTGGAATAAAGGTAAAGGGTGAAATTTGCTCCTTTTGAGGTAGCAGCAAAACTTGAAAAAAACTTTAAATATGCAGCAGGTGAGATAGAGGCTCAAAACTAGAGTTACTTGGCATTCTGGGATGGTGTTTAGCTCATGAAACTAGAAGCCCGATGGACAGTATTTTTAATAAGCTTGTCAAATTAGAGGACAGTAATTTTGCTTCAGAAAATGAAATGCAGTGTCTGCCCTAAGAAAAGGAGAGAAAAGGTATGGCCTTGGTAGTATGCAGGATCTTACAAAAGGATCTGATGGATAGAAAAATTTAAAGATGGGGTGCTGATACATGAGATAAAATATAAGATAGCTTCACCAAAAGTAGATTGTGCCAGCCTGATCAGATCTCTTGCTTTTTGATAGCAGTTTTTTTAGTCAAAGGCAATCTATTCTAATTGAACTTCAGTAAAGCAAATTATCGGTGCCACACAGAAAATGAATAATCAAAAGGAGGAAGCTGGGGAATAGTAGAAGAATTGTAATGTGGTAAGGAACGGGCTAAGGAGGAGCCTGCAGCAGGCTCTGCGAGACAGGAAGGTAGTAGGAAGAGATCTCATTTTGTGGGACATCTTTCTAAATATTGTCTGGAATGGAAGGGAATACATGAAATTCCATTTGCTGGTGGGAATTTAGGCAGCCTCAACAGGATGGAATATCAAGAGTAGAATATTTTAATGTTCTGACATGTAACAGTTAGGATCTACCTCCACAGGACAAGGTCAGGCATTGGGGAGGGTAACACCACAAATTTCTGCTCTGACCTGGGAATAAGAGTGGGGAAGAAAGTGCTAGCTGGATTAGTCCATTTTAGCATAATTATCTGTGTGGTGCAGTATAAGAAAGGAAAAAATAAATACAGGATTTAGTAGCCAAGGCATTTCCAGCAAGTAGAGGGAATTTTCAGCATCATGGGTACTGTTATACAAAGAACCAGTGAGCCCTTTGCTTACCATCAAATACATGCTCTAGGATAAATTCATGCTGGGAAGGAACAGAGGAAAAACATTAAAATGATGTGAGTACAGAGTCTCTTCCCACAGTAAACTAATGGTGTTTGGTTTGTTCAGCTTGGGAAGACACAGAGTGACAGGTCCTGCAGTTGCTGTCTGCATGCTTGTTGTGGTATGGGACAATGCAAAAGGTGGAGATGAGCAATTTAGGCTAAGGAATAAGGAATAATATGGGAGCAAGGAAAAAAAAAAAAAAAAAAAGAAGAAACTGGCAAGTATAAACACTGAAATAATTGAAAACCTTGAGAACCCTTCCATTAATGGTGGGGACCAAATGTCAAAATGGATTGAATGCAAAGTTTGATGTTCAGGAAGATTATGGTATGAAATGTTCCTGAGCCAGTAGAATGTCTTTCAGCCAACAGTCTATGCAAAAAATACAGAGACCAATTAAAAACCCTTCCTCTCTTATCCTTTTTTTCTTCCTAACAATCTCTAGATCAAGATTGGAGTTTTTCAGGCCACTTCCCTATGAGCTGAGAATAAAGTTCTTTGTCTAATACAGACAAGATCAGCTGAACTGCATTTCCAGGTGGAGGTTTCTGGAAAGCCACCTCTTTTAAGAGACTAGAATAACTAGGCAAGTCAGTGTCACTGGTGTTAGGAGAAAATGTGAAATCTGCCTATCATTAAACATTCCAAATTACACCTCTCTGCAAACACGGCCTGAAAAAAATCCTAATTCAAACTTTATACCATCACATTTCTACACTTAGCATAGCTTATAGCATAGTGAAGATAAGCCAGGCTGGGATTCTAACAGGATTTAGCCCCACTAGCATAAAAGCAGCAAATGCAAGAGGAAAGTGTGGGGACAGTGAGAGGATAATGCAACGTGTAGCCATCTGGAGCAATGTGCTTCTTTGGGTATCAACACTGTTGAGTTTATGAATTGCCCTTTAGCCTACCCTGTTGTTCCATGCATGCACAGTCTCATCTTATCCTAGTGCAAATGCTGTGCTCTTATCACATATTTGCTCTAGTTGTGGGTTGACCCTGGTTGGATGCCAGTTGCCCACCAAAGCCTCTCTATCACTCCCTCTCCTCCACTGGACAGGGGAGAGAAAATATAATGAAAGGCTCATGGGTTGAGATAAGGACAGTGTAATAAATAAAAAGCAAAGGCCGCATGTGAAAGCAAAGGAAAACAAAAGATTTTATTCTCTCCTTCCCATCAGCAGGCAATGTCCAGCTACTTCCTAGGAAGCAGAGCTTCAGTATGCAGCAGTTGGTCTGGAAGACAAATGTCATAAATAACATATAGCCCTGGCTTCCTCCTCCTTTGTCATAGCTTTTATTGCTGAGCAGATGTCATATGGATGGAATATCCCTTTGGTCAGTTTGGGTCAGCTGTCCGGGCTACATCCCCTCTCAAGATCTTGCCCACTCCCAGCCTGCTGGTGAGGGGGGAATGCTGGAGACACGGCCTTCATGCCATGCGAGCACTGCTCGGCAGCAGCCAAAACACTGGTGAGTTACTAACACCCTTCTAGGTACCAATACAAAGCACAGCGCTATGAGGGCTGCTATGGGGAAAATTACCTCCATCTCAGCCAGACCTAATACACTAGTTTACGACTCTCCTTCCCCTAGTGTGCTTTAGCATGGGAAAAGCAGATGGGCAGCCTTCTGGACCATTCTTTGAAATTATAACAAAACATAATTAGGAGCAATGTACTCTGCTTTGTGTGTGCAAACACACATGCATATATATGTGTATGTACTTATGTGTATGCATGTGCATATACACACAAGTATGGGCTAACTAGAAATCAAAACAGGAACTAGGTAAGGGCAACTACTAAATTTAAAAAGTCAGAAAATAATAAGTGCTTTTAGAAGTAGAAAATCCTACTTCCAAATGGCATAAAGCAAAGAATAAATAGGCATGATTTAAAAATAAAAATGAGCATTTGGATAGACAGTGGGTCTCAGAACACAGCTGTTCCTGTTTAACTAAAGCAGTGTGAATTTGTTGTATAGAAAAGTCCTCAGCATGAACCCCTATTTGGCTGAGCCAACCACCAAAGCATTCCTGACCCCCGAGAACCTGTGTGGGGCAAAGCTGTACACTTAAGATGCACCACCAGTTCAGGGGTCCCCAAACTGTGGTATGTGTACCACTGTGGTATGCAACGTATTTCCAAATAGTATGCAGGAGAAAAAAAAAAAAAATGGCCTCTAAAAATCCACCATCAAAACCCGTCACATCTGCATTATCTCTGCTCCAGTGACAGGCAGGAGCCAGCTA